AAAAATGTGAGGGTTCACATTGTCCCACAGCTCCCTTAAGCTGTTCTCCTGTTTTTTTTTTGTTTGTTTGTTTGCTTTTAATTGCGTGTGTATTTTTTTCCTCTTTGTTACTCTGATTGAGTGATTTTTTTCAACTCTGTCTTCTAATTCACTTATTCAGTCCTCCAGCTTCCCCTAATCTGCTGTGTATTTCTTCCAATGTGTTGTGTTATGTCATCCTTTATTTCCGACTGTTCTTTTTTTGTAATTACTATATATGTGTGCATGCTGTTGAGCATCTTTACCATCAATACTGTTCTGCTTCATTTATCTCTTCTTCTGGAGAATTCTCTAGTTCTTTCATTTGGAGGTTGTTTTTTGTCTCCTCATTTTGGCTATCTGTTTGGGTTTGTGACTATGTTTTAGGTATAGATCCTCTACACCTCTCCAACTCTAGTGCAGGGCAGTGTTAAAGGCTATTTCTGACTAATTGAATCAGGCAAAGATTCAAAGCCTCTGTCTGCAAACTAATAGGATTCTAACTTAAATTGCCCCAGGCAATCATTCTCGGGTGTGGTGAGTTTTGTTTTTTTTTCCAACAGGGTGGGGCAGTTGTTTTTGCCTGGAGGCCGAACCTTGGGGTCCGCAGGCCGAATCTCTATCCACTGAGCCAAACTGGTTAGGGCCGAATTGTTATTTTTAATTTCTTAAGTGGCCTGGGGCCAAGGTGTTTTCCAATAGGGTGTGTCGACTGTCTTCCCCCCCAGGCAAAGCAGATGTCTATGTGGGAAAGATGTCCTTCACTGGGTGAGGGAATGACAACCAGGAAACCTGGGGTGTCTGCCTTATGAACTCTATCCCCTGAGTCCCCAGTCCTGGGTTCTGCTCACACAGCTCCAGTCCACTTCACCCTCCCTCTGCCAGAGCACAAGGTGGGTGGCTGCACAGGGAATTTTTGTGCATTGGCCCTTCAAGACGGTTCCCAAACTTTGAGCTGCCACTCCCTGGCAGACAGCACCCCACTGCTTTTCACAGCTAGATGTTATGTAGGTACCCTCCTCAGATTGGTGTTCTCTGGGGAGCCCAGCTTCGGGATTAGATCCCAGAGTTCTCAGTGGCACCCCGCACATAGCTGAGATACCTCTCTGGGACTTGAGTTGCTGTCTGTGGGCGCCTGGCCAGCCCTTTCACGCCTTTGCCCCTCCTACTAGACTCTATGTGGTCTCCACCTTCAGTCCTTGGGTATCAGGGTTCTCTCCTGTGAGTTTTCTGTTGATTATTCAGGAAGCCTTTCCATATTTCAGTTGTAATTCCAGCTTGTTCCTAGAAGCATGTCAGTGCAGCATCCTCCTACTCTGCGGCCATTTTTAATCTTTCTCTGTGCAATTTACACAGGCAAGGTTTTAATGTTTATTTGCTGGTATCTGTGCATGCTGTAGCCAAAGTATTGGCTCTCCCTCCATTGTGTACCTCACTACCTGTGATCCATCCCTGCTATCACTGACACACTTATATACCATTGCCATTAGAACACTGTTTCTCAACCACAGGCAATTTTGCCACCTACAGGACATTTTGAAATGTCTGGAGATATTTTTGGTTGCCACAGCTTTAGAGGGACGATGCTACTGGCATTCACTGGTAGAAACCAGAGTTGCTTCTAAACATCCTGTAATGTGCAGGACATCTTCCCATAAGAAAAACTTATATGGCCCCCTAATGTCAGTAGTGCTGAGGTTAAGAAGCCCTGCTGTAAAGGATGATTACTTTTGAGAGGCAGGAGGCAGACACCTTAGGAATCTGCCCCGAATGTTTGACTCTTGTGCATAGTCTCTCTCCCCAACTTTTTAATTTTTTTCCTGCTGTTTGGAGAAGAGAACTTTGTCTCCAATTCTAATGGCTTTCTCCCAACTTTTCCTTACAGGTTTTCAAAAATACCTGGCAACAAATATGGAAAATAATTCCATAACTTTGTTGAAATGTTGCAAAAAGATGACTTCTACATCCTAATCCTTGAATGACTCAAATTGGTGCCAGGTGGAGGATTCCCATCACCTCTCTCAGAACAAAACTAGATCATTCTGTTGTCTTAGTTTATATATTTTCTGTGACTTGAAATAAACTTTGAACACAGTTTTAGTATAATGTAAATTGATACACATGAACTTTTTGCTTTAAAAAGCTGAATACCAAGGGTGAAACCTTAATGTATTTTCTACCCTTACTGCAATATTGTACTTCAATGTTATATTGCCATAGTTCTGTTTTTATTAAGTTAATCATTTATTCTTCTTTATTATATTTGAGAATTTCTCAGAAACAAATTTTTCAGAAACTTAGTTTCTTCTTAGTCTGCTTCCTGTGGTAATAGTAAGATTTGACCTTTGAGAACTTGCTAGAACTTCTGAGTCTACAGGAAGAAAATAACATGTGCTTAGAGCTATAAAATGATAAAAAGGCCAACAAAACAGAGAGCCTAGCAAAGTAGTGTATTTAGTTTATAAAAATCCAAATATCAAAATGCATTTTTTGTCAATAGTAGGTCTATTCACATGCATAGTTCAGAGGTAAGACAAAAATGTATTAGCCACTGGTTCTAGTGTGTCAACAACACAAAACTGGACATTTCCTTCTCCCAAAACCCTTCAGTCTAGGTAGTCAAACTTAAAAGTTTCAAAATCCACTGATTTTTCACATGTTCAAGATAAAATAAAAACTGAACAGCAATCAAATGCATAAAATGTATTTCATCCTACCTAAGTCACTAACCTATAGGCCTACCCTGTAACCAGATTTATTCTGGGAAATTAAAACAGAAAACCTTAAAACTTTTACATTCCTTTTTATTTTAAGGGGACCAAATGTAGAGTGCAAGCAGATAGATATGGTTGTCTCCCCTGCCTGCTTCCTTGCAGATAGATATGAACATAATTAGTGCCCTAGCTCTGACTTATGGCTCTTTCAGCCTACTGTTCCTTCTCTCATAGTAGCATTAAGGAGAAACATGATTTCTCTCCATCAGGCCAACCTCAAGAGGTTATGAGGTGCCTTAATAATTAGTAAAGTTCCACTGGAACTACTCGAGCCTATTTATATTCTCAGAATCCTACCCCCAGATTAGGAGTATGGTCAAGTGAATTAAAGCCTGCAATAGGCTTAGAGAATGTAATAGCATATTGCTTATATATCAAGCAAAAGAATGCAAAGATAATCAACTTTATGAGACATTGAAATTGAGAGATTTTCTACTCTGATATATAAACATTTACTATAAGAGTTTGCTGAATAAGATACTTCATATTACAACCTCAGAAGAAAAACTTGCTCAAAACAGCTTAAGAGATTTCTAGGTGTCATGCACAGCCCCAAATTGGGCTTGGATGTTGATTATATGTAGGACTTATTATTATCATTACCTTTTCTGCCTACTTCCATGAATAGTCTAGACCAGCAGTCGCCAACGTTTCGGACCTCACGGACCACCGGTGGTCCGCAGGCCACCGGTTGGTGACCGCTGTTAGACCTTGGTATGTTGATTTTAGCAGCAGTCATATCTTGGAAGTGTCAATACAATTTAGACATTGAGATCAAGAATAAAGCCTCTCATTAGGAACTCATAAGATATTCAAGGAATACTAAGGTTCCAAACCAAACTCATTGAGAACCAGATTATCATTTGGTCAGCAGCTAATAAGAACCATATTGTCAAGGTTCCACTGTGCATGTTTCTAAAGCCTTATTAAATTTAGACAGCTGAAATCCAGGAAGTTGGCAACAGTAAGGGTACCCCAATCTATTCCTACAGAAACATCTGTTAGTACTTTTTACTAATGTCCAATTAATACATGAAACATAATTCACTACCATAAGATCTGGACTTACCTTTATTTTGTTCAGACTAGTGACTGAAAAATACTCCAAGTTACAAGTTATACAGGTTTCTGGATAATTAGAAACTATCATTTATTCATTTTTGGTCACTTAAAAAAAGAGAAAGAAATAGGTGCTATAATGCTAATTCAGTAGAAACAGTCTTTTAAATCTGATGAATTGAATTGACTTTGGGCACAATAAAATGTGAGGTTTTTCCCTCTTTTAAGGGCCCTGGTCTTTCCTTTTACTGATTCACTGTGACTACTAACATCCCGGAGCCAGGAGGATAGAAGAAATAAAAAAGCATTTTGACAGGAGAAAAAAGGCATTTGGCTTATGTCATTATGGGAATGATTCCCTAATGAATAAGTATGTCGGAGCAAAAAGATGTTATCAAAATTCTAAATTATCTTTTATTAAAACTAGAGATTAATACACCCCCTTAATAAAATTGGCGATAAAGAGCCCTGTTGACTAAATTGTCCTAAGATCAAATTCAAGTTTTTGCAATTATTTCCAACAGAGCAATGCAAGCTAATGACTATAGCTGACTCTCAGTTATACAATTTCAGTTATGATTAGCATACTTTCAAGATTTTCTTTCCCAAATGGAGACCCCAGATAAAGTAATAAAAGATGCATTCATTAAGCAAAGAAGAAAATCCTTTTTTTTGACAAGCAAAAATAAGTATAGCATAAATGGCTGTTCACACTGGATAAGACCATGTTTAAAAATAACAGTAAGACTGTTCATATTGTATATAGAAATGGGGTTCTTGGTATTTTTATGTTTTATTTATGCTTATTGTGTTTTGTCATTAATTCTTAAATAAAATTTTATTTTAGAAAAGCACCCTACTTCGAAATCTTTTTTGATGATGGGAAGGGAGAATATGACCCAAGGTCCAGGCGAAAGTAACACTTGCAATCAACAAAATCACCTGGGGTTAAATTGTCATCCACCTCTGCTATCAGGCCTTGCTGTAGTCATGGCATTCTAAAATGATTTATGGCTATTTTCTGAAGAAAGGCTCCATGGACTTTGCAATTATTATGGCATTCTAAAATGATTTATGGCTATTTTTTGAAGACAGGCTCCATGGACTTTGCAATTATTGTGACTACTGAAATTCTTGGGTTCCTTTTAAAAAATTATCTTTATTGTTGAAAGTATTACAAAAGTTCCCTTCCCCCATTGACCTCTTCCATTCTGTTTCTGCCCCCTCCCCCACCCCACCCTCAGGCCTTCATAGCACTATTGTCTGTGTCCAAGGACAATGCATATATGCATATAAATTCTTTGGTTAATCTCTTACCGCCCACATCCCTCTGAGATTTGTCAGTCTTTTCGATGCTTCCATGCCTCTAGATCAGCCGTGGGCAAACTGCTGCCCGCGGGTCAGATCCGGCCCATTTGAAATGAATAGAACTAAAAAAAAAAAAAAAAAAGACCGTACCCTTTTTTGTAATGATGTTTACTTTGAATTTATATTAGTTCACACAAACCCTCCATCCATGCTTTTGTTCCGGCCCTCCGGTCCAGTTTAAGAACCCATTGTGGCCCTCGAGTCAAAAAATTTGCCCATCCCTGCTCTAGATCTATTTTGTTCATCAGTTTATTTTGTTCATTAGATTCCACATATAAGTGGGATCATGTGATACTTGTCTTTCTGTCTGGCTTATTTCACTTAGCATAATACTCTCCAGGTCCCTTCATGCTGGCTCAAAGGGTAAGATATTTTTTAAAGCTGCATAGTATTCCATTGTATAAATGTACCACAGCTTCTTTATCGACTCATCTACTGAGCACTTGGGCTGTTTCCAGATCTTAGCTATTGTAAATAGTGCTGCTGTGAACATAGGGGTGCATACATTCTTTCTGATTGGTGATTCAGGATTCTTGGGATATGTTCCCAGAAGTGGGTGAAATGGCATTTCCATATTTCATTTTTTGAGGATGCTCCATACTGTTTCCAAAGTGGCTACACCAGTCTGCATTCCCACCAGTAGTGAACTAGGATCTCCTTTTATGCACATCTTTGCCAGCACTTGTCTTTAAGTTCAGAAAACAAATTGAATCCAACCAAAAAAATGCCTGAGAGTCATGTCTTGAGAAGCACGTTCTTGTCCTTAAGTGTCTGACCAGACCAAGTAAGTTGTTGAACATACAAAGGAGAGACAAAATGCAGATTGTGGTCCTTATTTCTATAAGTCAGAAATTTTCTTTGTTGAAGTAGAATTGAACCTTCCTAGGATCCAGACTGGAGTATTGGTGACAACATTTGCGCAGGGACTTTGCCAAAGCCTGAGGACCACATAAAAAGACTCCAACTACAGACCTGCAAGAAAAGAATAGTTGGCTAGTAAAGGCTGCGATGTTGTTAGAATGGAGAAATGAGGTCTCTACTACTGACAACTCTGCAACTCTGCATAGAAATTCAGTTGTTGACACCCTTCTCACATTCTTCATAGTAGTTTTCTTACTTTTTCTTCTTACAAGCTCCAAATGAGCTTTCAGCCCTTATCACATCAGTGGTTCTCAGCCTTGGCTGCACATTAGAATCACCTGGGAATCTTTTTAAAATCCTGATTTCTGGGCCTCATCCTCCAGAAATTCTGTTTCTTTGTTACTAATGTTGTGGCCTCACCCCATAACAAAGAAACAGAATTTGAGAACCACTGCACTAGGTACTCAGCCTTGCCTATTCTGTTCAGAACATGTTCAGCTGTAGTGCCCTGTAGTGGTTAAGTGCTAGCTAGACTAATGAGCCAGGCTGCCTGGGTTAAAATCCCAGCTCTGACACTTATCCAGCTGTGTGACTTTAGGAAAGTTTCTTAACCTCTCTGTGTTTCAGTATTTGCCCCCACTCTGTAAAATGGTGATAAAAACAGTACCCACCTTACAGGATTGTTTTAAGGTTTAAATAAAAATTATAGCTGCCATTAAAGCCATTTGTGTAATTGAATTGATCTTCACCTGCCAATTGTTCCTGGAATTTATCTAATACAATCAGCTTAATCTCCTTCTCATCAGAATGTCTGAGCTCAGGGCACTAGGTTTTCCTGTGTTTCAAACCCCTCCAGAAAGACTGAGGTCAGGTCATCAGCTCACTAGATAAATACAGCCCAAATCCTTGCTGCTTTGAGGTCACTAAGCCAAAAGCAATGCATTTGAACTGTTCCAGTTCTATTTCATTTGGTAATACAAATCAGAACTGAGTCTCCTTGCCTCACTATTTGAATGGGGGGTTGTGGTGCAGCAAATGTATTCTCATCAATTACAAGATCATGACCCTTATTTGGCTGAAACCCCAGATGGAATTTCCTCAGTTTTAAGCAATAATCTAGGAATGGTGCAAGTAGTTTCTGCCCCAGAGGTCTTTTCCCAAGAGTGTTCAACATACCATAATGCCTTTCCTAAACCCTAAGTCTGTAAACTCAACTAATGAGAGGAGAATACACTTACTTGGGGTGGATGGTAGCTATTGTAGAAAACTCTTTATCCCACATAGGTCTCCCAAAGAAAGTTTTGTGTTTCAGACCTGTCAGGATGTCTGTGGCTTTGTCAAAGTTTAATGCTGCATGACCAACCTGGAGTCAAAGAAATAAAAAGTTAGGAAAAGAAGGCCCTGATAGTTGTCTCTTCCTTCCGCTACTTTTAAACTTGAATGTGAGGGTGAGAGCAGGTAGGAAATCACACACACAAAAATTATTTCCAATCAGCACACACCGTCTTTGGTCTGACATTCAGCTTGCATCCAACATGGGAATTAGTGTGTTGTTTGAACTCACAATGTTGCTGTCCCATCCAGTGAGGAAGAGACGGAAGTTTAGAAACCCAACTTTGCCTAATTCTTCCATCTCCTGTTCCAGGGAAGCCAATAGGTCATTGAACCAGGCAAAGGCATCTGTCTCCCTGCAGATCCAGTAGAAATATATCTGGAATCACCAAGAGAGAACATAGCCTTTTATAAATGCCCGTTACAATGTGCATTGTAGTGACATGATTAGGTAGATATACTGTATATTTGTTGATCAAGTTTAGGGTGACCCGAGAAATCACCTCTACAAAACAGCAGACCTTAGGCAGCTCAAATGTCCAGAGTCCTAACAATTTCCCTTATGGAGAAAGATCACCCACCAATGTCATTTTTGTTTCAAGGTAATTTTAAACTCAAAATTGAAAATGAAGACCCTATTCTTATGGTCAATCTGTAGAAGCAGATGCCTTGGCAGAGAGAAGTGATCACTTGTCTCATAACTCCAGGGAGGGGTGCTTGCTCATCAGTTGTAAAGAGCTTAGCCCATGAAAGCAATGGACCTGTCAGGCCCACACCAGATAAAAGGTGGTATGAGGGAGTGTACCGTTTGTGTTTTGAGATTGTGATCTGCATGCCGGAATTTGTACCAGATGGACTTCAAAATGGAAGCAAAGGGGGTGACTCCAATTCCTGCTCCAATCAACATAGCCACTTCATACTGAAAAACATCCTCACTGGCAGTGCCAAAGGGACCATCCACCTCAATCCTGGCAGAAGACAGAAGGCAATAGGCAAGTGGAGTCTCACCTCCCCCCCCCCCACAAACACCCTCCCAGAGACAGCAGTTCCCATGGCTGATTTCAGCCTGTTGTGTTTTTTCTTAATTACGTTCTATTGTACCAAACATAAGGTTCAATGAGGAATTGTATTCTCATATTTGCCTGTCTGCATCCTGGTCTGGGTCTCTGCAGCTCTCGAGGACCTACCTTGGAATTGGTGAATGCTGTTGTTCAAAAGCCTTTATGAGATTTTCTGTCCAGTCCCCTGCTGCTCGGATATGAATGGAAAAGAAGTCTTCCTCTGGAGCAGAGGTCAGAGTAAAGGGATGCCACTCCAGGTAAGAGATTGAGGGGCAGTTAACAAAAATATACTGTCCCACTTCCATGCTGAAGCCACGCTTGATCATCTGCAATTCCAAAACTTTGGATGGGTGCATGACAACCTATGAATGAGGCACAGAGACCAAAGGAGGCCATTTCAAATGGTGACAGGAATGGTAGATAAAGTAAATGAATAAAGCTGGAGGGCTGGTGACAGTGGTGAACTGCTAGCACAAATGCTTTCTAAAGGGAATAGCAGTTACTTACTTCAGGCAATTGGTTACACTATGGAACTGACAGCGTTATTAGTTGGCCTGATTCTTCAAGAGAAGCCAGAAATGCAATTTTTAATGTAAAAGCCTCCATCCAGATTTTTAAGTGTTAGCAACTAATTCAACTTTCTAAACAATGAGTGTGTGGGCCAAACAAAACATGTCTGTGGGCTACATCTGGCACAGGCCGCCTGTTTGCAGCTTCTGACATAGACCCAATGTTGATGATTTCTGCTAAACCCCTCTTCCCATAGTTCTGTCCAGCACTGGAGGAACTGAAGTATGTTACCTCCAAGATGTGTTTTTTTTATTCCCTACAGGGTAACACATGGAAATTTATTTCTATAATCGGGAAGACCAGAACTCTTATCACAGCAACATGAAAGTGCATATGCTTTACCTTGGTAATCATAACCCGCTGCTGGGAGCGATAAAATCGGAGGATCCTTTCAAAGATATAAAGAACACCTGGTGCAAGGATCCACTTCCAAGACTGCAAAGAAACAGAGTACAGAATAAGGTTACACATTAATCTCTTCTTTAGGATTTATCTGTGTAGCAGTTTATTCCTTCTTTCAGTAAATATTTATTGAGTTCTCTGCTGTGTATCATTATTAAGCCACTAATTTCACCAAATCTTGAGAACAGAAATGGAAAGGAATAAACTACAATAGTTTCTTTTGCTAATCTGTTACCCGTAAAACAGATCACT